CCCCTTCCCCTTCCCCCTCCCCTCCCCGACTCTCTCATTACGCAAGTAATCCGCTGTGAGAACCTATAGAAACTCCTCCACCTTCCCGCTTATCTATGCTACAATCACGATTACAATGGGTGATGTAGATCTAACCAACGATGGCATCGTCAGCCTCGACTATGATTCTCGAGGCTACATCTCTGCTCCCACCTGGTCCGTAGCGGTGGAGCATCGCCCGACCCAGCACCACCAGCAGCACCAGCAGCACCACCATCAACACCAGCAGCAGCAGCAGCATCAGCATTCGCAGCACCACCACCACCACCAACGAGCCGATGGTAGGGGGGATATCTCACCCCTACAAACTAACAGTCACGATTTCAACGCCACTGTAGCGCACGACCACGATCTCATCAGCGACTGGGAATTCCACAATATACAACCCCACCACCTCCCGTATTCTCAAGCTGAGACCTCGTCTGCTCCCCAATTCACCTCCAGCTACTCGATCCCACTCCAGGCTTCTCCAATCGATCTCATGCCAGCTGCTACCCAGGCTCAGCTGGGTCCAAGTCTACTTGACGGGCCCTATCACGTTCCTCTGTCTGCACCGCCAGTCGATATGATACCCTTCACGTTCCACGATTTCCACGCGGATCTCATGTCTTTTCCGACTATGGACGGCCTTCCAGATGTGACCTACGCTTCCCAGAGTATTCAGGGCAGTAGCTCGCCAACAGACACATATTTGGAAGTCCGCTCCTTGACCAGTTCGAGCAGTGATAATGGCTGGACAACCATCGAGAATCGCAGGTCTCTAGACTCTCCATACCACGAACATGGCATGTTCATCAACCCAAATCAGACCCTGCATAATAGGAGCCTGTCTGAGTCGTCATATTCCGATTTGGATCTCCACAACCCAAGAAACTCCTTTAGCAGCATAACAGACTTTTCTCATCCCATAAATTCTCCAAGTTCGGAATCGAATCTCGAGGCGGAGTACAATGCTATAAATCGTAGAGTGTCATGTGATCAGACCTCCCATGGTTCGTCGTCCCCGGCTGCTGTGAGCCCCGTTGGAATTGTCAGGCCCATGCCAGCCAAGAAATCTTCGTCGCCTTCCCGATCCCCGACTTCACAGGCGTCGTCCTCTCCGCCAAGTAGAAAACCATCCCGCAAAAGCCCTATCGCCGCAAAGACCGCAGAAACGAAAGTGCGAAAGCAATCTCAGTCTGGAAAGCCCGAAACTGAGAAACGTGTGGGGAAGCGAAAGGGCCCGCTTAAGCCTGATCAGCGGAAACAAGCTAGTGAAATACGAAAATTAAGAGCTTGTCTGCGATGCAAGTGTCTGCGATGCAAGTTCCTCAAGAAGACTGTACGTTTAATAATATGAAGAAAAAAAAAAAAAAAAAAAAAAAAAAAAAAAAAAAAAAAGAGAGATCCCACTCCCCTCCCACACCTTCTTTCATTCGTATTTCAGATATCTTCTAACATTGTAAATAGTGTGACAAAGGAGAGCCTTGTGCGGGTTGTCAGCCATCACACGCTAGGCTTTGGCAAGTTCCTTGCACTCGCATTGACATCAAAGAAATCGGCTACTTCATGAAAGATTGGAAGGCCGATTATGAGCGTCACGTTACTTTAGCCTTCTCAGTGGGGAACATCAAGGGGTTCTCTGATGTTGAGAGAATACTCTTCATCACTCATGGATATGGTCAAGTGATTCCTGTCACCGCACGCGAAGTTTATGTTCGCGATGAAGAGTGCTTCAACATCGATTGGGTGGAATCTATGCAGCGCGATCCTAACAGCTTCGAGCTCGCAACCGCGAAATTGTCGGCGGGCATGGAAGGGATCACCCCCGCAATGCTTTCGGATTACCTTGACAAACATATTGACAGTGACGGGAGCTTCGAGAATTTCGTGGATGACTACTTCACCGGCACCCCATTCTTGACCCAGATGCTCAAGAGTACATTCCGGTATTACTCTCGAACTAAGCTTCCAGTTATCCGGAAAGCACTGAAGCTCATCCTAGCCTACAACCTTACGCTACATGTTACCATGGTCGAAGGAGTTGGTGAGCTGGAGGATTTCATCGGCAAGATCGATGATGAAACGTCAAGGTACAATGGAAAAATCATGGCACCAGTCATGATAAATTTCCAGATCAAGTGCGGCTTGGCTACCATGTGGCGAGAATTGCAAAAGGACGTGCTTGAGGAACTGTCTGCTCTCTACTCCAGTGTTTACAGCGGTGACAAACTTAAAAACTGGCCAACCATTTTCCTCCTCGCGTCTATACTGCTTGCTGTGTGGGAAGAGATGCAGTTTGACTGCCATTATCGGGTTCCTGTAAGATTGACTTCTTCTATATTAATATTTTTCTCCTTCGAGCTGCCTTAGACTAACCTGATATAATTAGGATGCTGCGGCGGTTGACAAATTCTGCACTGATATGGAAACAACCCCCGTCGGTGTCATCGTCGGCCTCTTCCAAGCGATTTCCCAGAAACTACCAGCATTCACCGAATGGGATTCTCAAAAACACCACCACCTCCTAGGCTCGAATGTTGACGTCTGTGACACCATGACGGAAGTTCGTCAGCATGTTACTCAATACGGTAAGTTTCAAGAGGCGTTCAGTATTTCCTCCGTACATGTTAACCCCTTTACATGCCCGAAAAGAAATCCAAAAAACACAATCTAACAAATTAAACCCTGCAGAATCCTATCTTCGAACCCGCAGCAAGTCGAAATTCGACCGCAACGATTTCGATTGTTTATCAAATAAATTTGTCTCTAGACTTGTTATTCGCGCGAACTAGAAACGGGACATGCCCTTCCATACCCCGATCTTTCTTTAGCGAACTATGACCTCCCAGGACTTTTTGTTTGATGATGTAGTCTGCAATTTTTGGTTTTAACGGCCTTCCATCCAAGCGAGCGCGAAACAAAAGTACAATTTACGAAAACAATACATAGCATCTGCTACGACCGGTATGAGATATATGTTCCATGATTTCCATGAACGAATGAGGCAAATGAGATACAACCACGCTCAACACGGCTCCGCATGAACCCTTTTTGGCTGGACCTTACACTCTTTTGACTACCAACTTTTCCTTTTTGTTATGTGCTTACCATCTGTTTTTGGCATATCAGTGTCAAACATTTTGTGTGATATTTTTTTTGTGAGATTATCATTTTTTCTTTTGGTTTTTTCCTAAAACTTAACCTCGATGTTTTGGGAAACAAGAATTCCTTTATTTTTCTTAAGTGATATATACCTTTTATTTATGTTTTTGATATTTAATCTTTTGCTGCTTGATTCTTGATTCTTGATTTTTTTTTTTTTTTTTTTTTTTTTTTTTTTTTTTTTTTGGAGAACATTTACCTGCATAGAACTGGTTCCCCCCCTCTTTCTTTAAATCCGAGTCGCCTCTTTTTTGTGCTTGCGCAAAATGACGAGAGAAACAAAGAAACTAGAAAAGCGAAGAAATAAGATAAAACAACACGACGGCGACGGCGACGGCGACGGCGACGATGATGAAAATTACGGAAGAAAGGGGAAAAAAATACGCTGCGTTTATAACAGCGGTCTTTTGATCCGTTATATCGCCTTTCAAGCTCTGCCTATTCTAGTTTGTACTTTTCATTTTGGCCATGTTTTTTATTTTCATTTCTGATACTGATGATCGCAATCTTCTACTCTACGCGTTCCTCGCATTGCTGCACTTTTGTTAGTTTAGTTGATCTTTTTCTTTTCTTTTCTTTTCTCTTTCCTCCTTACCTTTCTGAGTAATATCGTGCCCGAGCTATTGTCATTCGCCGCTGTATACCCTTTCTGTCCAATTATTCTGGAAGAAAGGAGGTTTGGGTGGCGGAACTTGCCTCTTGCCTGGTAAAGCGTAGGGGGACCTTGCGTGGGGGTGTACGGGGTACCCCGTCTTAAACCTCTTCACAACCCCTATCTATATATTTTTACTTGATCCTTTTTTATGCCCTCCGTTTTGAATAAACAAGACATATAACAATGAAATAAATGAAATTATATCCAGAAATATAATCTTGGTCAAAAATGGGGTGATGATCAGTTGCTTTCCAGGGGATACTGTGCTACATATATCTCCTCACTACGGAGGATCCTCTCAAAAGTTTTTGATTAGCACTAAGAATTTAAGGTGTAACTTTGTTACAGGCATAAAGTATTCCCATTCCCTGTCTTAGCCAGAGTTCTAAGGGAGGCTAATGTCTGTGTCACCTGAATAACTAGCTATAGCTTAACTAAAGCTAGCCTAAATCCCAAGGGCTTGAGAATAGAATGGTACCAGTATTACAGCTTAAATTCTTAGCGAGGGTCCTCCGTAGAGTACTAGTAATTTGACCTCTTACGCTCTTGTCCTCTGTTCCACCCGTTCTTGTTTCTCATATTTTATTTAATAGGTTAGGGCCTGTGGAGGAGGGAAGGGAGTTTGTTGCCACACCGCCCGTCCTGCATTCATCATTGTCATATCTACTTGCCGTATGCTATGGTTCTCCGGCGGATCTCCAGCGGATCAGGAACCAACAACCAGAGTTTTTGAACCATTGATCCATCTGTAGGAAATTAAAGAGGCTTGGGATATAAATTGTACAGTACAAATGAAGTTCACCCCCTTTTTATTTTAAAAATAATAATAAATCTCCGTATCGTTCCATCACGTATTGTTCCATCAGTCTGTCATATATAAGGTTATTTTGTCGTCCTCTACCGCAAACGAATCCTAGCACCACTCAAATCTCACAAGAAACCATACGGCATACCATACTACATACCCCCTGCGGACAAAATAAAGGAAAAAAAAAAAAAAAAAAAATGAAGCTCCCCCTCCTCCTCGCTCTCGCCGCACTCGCACCCCTTGCATGGGCCACCCCCGCAAGCAGCGCACACCCAAGAGGGTTACAAGGACCACCAGGACCAGGACCAGAACCAGAACCAGAACCAGAACCAGAACCAATGCCAGACCCAACAGTGTCAGAACCATACGCCCAATCAGCACCACGCACCACGGGGCTCTCTCTTCTTGTGGGGGTGAAATATTGCGCGCTCACTTTCTACTGCAGGACTCATATAGAGTGCGCGGAGCAACCAGACTGCAGGGAGAAAGCCAACTATGACCCGACCCGAATCTATTGCGGGCGCCTCTTCTATCCCCATCAATGCGTTGTGCGCGGATCTCCAGATCCCCATCCCATCACAAGATTTGATGGTTTGGCGCCTGCTCCTACTTCTTCTTCTTCTTCTGCGCCTGAATTTGCTTATACTGCTGCTCCTCGGAGGGCGTGAATATGAACAATAGTGATTGGTGTCGATAGCGATGGCGATGGTGATCATGAGGATGAGGGTGATCGTGATGATGAATAATACTCCATTCGTTCTGCGCTTGTGATTTTTCAGTATATAGACTGAGAGATGGGGGATGGTGGTTGGTTCGAATCTGACTTTTTTTTTTCTTCTTTTCCTCTCGTTACCCTTGAGACCCCACTGTGTATGTAATTTTTTAGCTCTTGCTATTTAGCTTAAAGTTTTTACATTAAAGTTTTAATCCGTCTACCCAGGTCCCCTCAAATGCATCTTGAGTCGATACAAGCATGGTTGGCTCACTATCGCTTTTTCCCCGCCCATGCCCGAGAAAGCGCTTGCTCTGCTTGGTTTTGAGGAAGAAGATTATACCCGCTTGAGATAGTATGATATAGAAAGATGTCTTTTGAGATGTATTAAGGAGCCGGTGTATATTTCTTCCGTCAGTCGGTGGTCAAATCTGTAGATATATATATATATATATAACGCCCCCAGAGAGGCAGAGGGGCGGGCAGACAGCACGTAACACTAGTGGGTAGGTAGGCAGGCAGGTAGGTAGACGAAGAGCGAGTAAGTAAATCTTCAATCCTCAAGCCGGTTTTTAATGTGAGCAGGACTACGAGCAGTCTAACAGGCCCGAGGGGAGAGGGCAGCGGGCAGGGTGGCAGAGAGAGATCGCCAACTATTTTCATGAACCATGTGAGTGATCAATCACTGAGACGAGAGACCATCATCATCATCATCATCATCCTCTTCTCTCTGCACAAATAGTATAGGCTGTAAGTAAAAGTGCTAGTAGATAGAACATTGAGGAAAAAAATACGGCGCGTAGACTTTGACTTCAGAACGACGGTTGGTTCGGGTCGGGTGGTCGGTTGCTTAGAGTTTCTGCCAAGGAATCCGGGGGCCCGTTCCACTGGAGCGCTTCCGCCGGTTAGAGCCGCTTACCATACTAACTACACAGTTAAACGGTCAAAACTATAAAACATGTATAATGACTGACACCCGAAGTAGATGTATGTCCCAATGAGGGGCAACATGGATCATGTTGTTAACTTTTGATAATGTTACCAATCTGGTACTGTTGCTCCATAGATTCAACGCCTTCCATCGGGTTCATCTATAAGTTAGTTGAAACATGGCTAGAAAAAAGCTGACTGATCTCTGAAGCATGGTCAACTCCATGTCAAACCTCATCTAGAATACTCCTCTGTACATACATACACGTATAGCTTCTCGCTATCTCAAAAACACTCAATACTCAACACACACTCTTATTATAAAGATAAGAATTATAGAGTAGCTCCTCTCTAGAATGATCAATTAACAAACACTTCTACTTTTCAAAATATAGCCAGTATTGTGTTGTGTGAAGAAATGAGTCTATTAGTGTATGTAAATGAGATTGTTCTACACATGATCAGGGTTGATTTTCTAACCGTGTTCAACTTCTTGAGATCTTTCTAACCGATTACTTATAATAATTTAGTCTAGTTAGTGGTATATCGCAATATCATACATTTTCTATGAGAGTTTCAGGAACCCACGTTCAAATTGTAGCAGTAGCAATAAAATAGACCTTGTAATAAGTTGGTAAACTAAAAGAGAAACACCTAGATTGCACAGGAGCAACATTGCTAGCAAATAAAGGGTGGGAGATGTGTTACCTGTCCACCCATGGTTGAAACCCTAACGCAACCGTCCTAGCACCGTTCTCTTCATCCACAGATGTCCCGTATGGGCTACCTCTTCCTTGCACCGCCGGTCCGTCCCATTGACAATTCATTTTTGGATGAGGATGGAATTCCCCATGTGGGGAACGTGGTGGGCTATGGGGATAGCTGAACGCTTGTTTACTCTTCCCATCAAAAGACATCACACATAGCTGGATAGAACATAGAAGAGGTCCCTTGTATAAGGTTTTGTTTCACCTTTTCTTCCTACCTTGGGGTATCCGGGAGAAGCCTAAAGGGTATGGGAGCGTGGCATGCACATGGCCGGAACTAACTCGAGTTGATTTATAAAAACGGGGCCTCGCGGGTCTTGAATCTTCTCTCGTTCATGCTTCTCAAAGGCCTTCGAAGAAGAGAAGAAACAAACGGAGCATTCGGAAACCATCGATTGATCTCTGCTTGCTCTCCCCCTTCAATGCGTCCAATCTTCAACCATGAAGCTTCAGGCTTTGCTTTCGCTCTGCTTCCTTGGTGCAGTCACCGCCGTTCAGTCAGCTAAAGTGGTATGTTGTGTTTTGGTTTATGCCCACCTTGCTCAAAGCCCGCGCGAGGAAAAAAAAGAACTCGATAAAAAAAATTCTCTTCCTACCAACCCGGGCGTTGACGTTTGACAACGTCAACAGCAGGGGCGGAACTCAATCCCAACTCCGCGGTCCTGAAGTGAACTAGGGACTTTCATACTTCAAAAGGAACTCAGGCAAGATTAATCTGATTAATCTGATGCACAGGATGTGAACGACGTTCTCCGGAACCTAACGAGCGATCCCCTAGGATTTAAACATCTGGGTGACGATGGGGTCGCGCGCTCTTTCAGCCCAAATGGCACAGTGATTGACGCCGTAGGGCTAGACCCTGAGCTGCTCATGAATGCTGCTCAGGGCTATAAAGATCCAAGCAAGCGGCAACACTTGATAGATCTTTGGACGGGCGTTGACGGCACCAATGTCAGTCATCTTGATCGCTATTCACCCCCCAAGGATTTGCTTCCTACCCTCTTTACGGATAGCAGGTTGGGAAAGGAACTTAAGGAAAAAAACGAGGAACAGAGGGCCAAGTATGGGCAGTCGCTGAATAAAAGGGGCAGTGTTCTCGATCCCAATGTCAATTGCTTTGACATAGTCTGTTACAATCAATTAACCTGCGTGTGGTTACAATGCAGGGACTGTGTAGTTTATGATAGATTCCGGGGCACCAATTGTATATAAAAGCGAGGGGTTTTGGAAGAACAACCGAGGGTTCATACCGGAAGAACGTAGGGTTATTACACGATCGGATTATGGTTGTTCCACTATTTCAATCCGCGACACCGTCGCTAAGCTGTAACTTATAAGGCAGCAGGCGTGGTATTATATTATTATTATTATTCTTCTTCCATTATACTCATATGCAAGTGGAGCTTATGATGAGTCCTTGCGTGATGTTAAATACAGGTCAAGTGTTGGTTATACAGGAGGAAATACAGGTGTTGAGACCACACCAAGATAACAAGAACATAGGAAAATACAAAGGAGTGACAATTAGATACATGCGATAATAACTTCCCAGCCCAGGAACATAGAGCAATTTATGTTGGCCCTTACGGCCGTTGCGGTTAGCGATCCCACTAGATCACGTGACCCACCACTATATTATGTTCCTGTAGATAGATCTATCAATACAACCTTCAACTATTCTACAGGTTATAGCCTGAATGGCATGTTTTTCTTTTTAGAATGTTGTATCAACATTTTTTGACATGAATAGTTCATCTTTTTTAGAAAGACTCTCACTCTTTATTAGAGATATTTCATTTTTTCTGAATCTGCTGATAAGTAGATTCATATACTTTATATTTTTTTAAGAAAGTGTGTTCTTCATTGTGAAGAATATCACTTTTTTATTTTTTTACATATCTTGATATGAGTGATATGCCTGTTACTTCAGAGTTCAGCTCAAGGCTCAGAACTACACACTTCACTAGATGACTTATTGATAGAATGATCACTTATTATAAGAAGGCTTCTGACTTGTAAGATGAGACTGAGATCAGTTTTCACCAGAGTATGAAATTTAATGATGAGACAATGAAGAAACTTCAGAATAAAGAAAAGCAGAGTTAACATTTATCTGCATAGACTGGCCGCTGAGATCATGAATTTCATATTTAATCTCATTTAATCTGATCTTATACATTTCTTGATGTGAATCCTGCTGAAACTAATTATTAAATAAACATGTAAAGTGACTATATATCAGATCTCAAAATGAAATCATGACTTGAAAAAAATGAGAAAGTGATCTCATTTGATTTCATTTAGTTTCATTCTTAATATAAAGTTACTATTTTTAGACATTTTAAGGTTTTTTTTAGATTATTTTTAATTTTTTAAAAAGTAATGCTTTTTAATAACACTTAAATAAGATTTAAAGTCATTTAAAGTAATAAAAATAATTTAAATTGAGAAGTGAAAATTATAATCTCATTTGAAAAATGTGATAAGAGTAGACAGTAAGTCTCACTAAGATGATATAAAACTACTATCTAATGTTAGAACTGTGTAATGAGATCTGTCAAATTGATAATGAGACTATTAAAAATTCTGATTCTGATCTCAGACACGGTTACATAGTCAGTCTACATCTGCCTGCAGAATCTGTTTATTTCAATTCATTGAATTCTTCACTATCTCTCACTCTCAGAATGCTGACTTTTAATGATGATTCAAATCAATCTATCTATTGCACTGCAGGCAATCTTATGAATCTTATACAGATAATGCTACAGAATCAGATAACTGTGACTGAAATCACTTAACATCTTACTACATCTGTCTCTGCATAAAGAGATACTACAAGAGATGAGTTACAGAAATATCAGAAGAAAGTCAAATATGCACTAGATATTAAATCAGTGATCACATTTGATAGCTCTAATTATGAAGTCTGATGTGTTGATATATTGACTGATGCAGAAGTTATTAATGAAATCAATATTTTATTAAGAACTTAATAAGAATTCTCTTTTACATGTTATATTAATTCTGAGAAGTGAAGAATCTGTTTTAAGTCTCTATATAGATGTATACTATTGAGTCTTGTTAAAAATGTTCAAATCACTATTGAAATCTTGAAAGCTGATAATGCTGCAGCTCTGTGAGACAAGATTAATATTGAATATATAATATCACTGACAGAAGAATGAGTTAATGTCTTCAAGAAATTGACAAAATTACAAGTCAAGAAGAATGATTATCTTATTTTTCAGAGATATTTTCACTATCTTATTATCTATCACAAAGAGCTCTGTCAGAGTACTGAGAATGTATATCATGATCTTTTTCTCAACAATCTACAAGATTATCAAAGATTATTTATCAAGATACATTTAAATGAGTTTTTCTTCACTGATCAGAGACTCATTGTCAACATTGATATCAATGATTTGATGAAGCAACTGATCAATTGTACATTCAAGAAGATCATTATCAAGTAGAAAAAGCAGTCTCAGACTGATTCTGTAACTGTAAAAAAGAACAAAGATAAGAACAAAGATGAGAATAAAAGCACACTTGTATAAAAGTGCACTCACTGTAAAAGATATGAATATACTGTTGACAGGTGTTTCATCTTACACTCTGATAAAAAGAAAAAGAAGAATGATAAGAAGAATGACAAGAAGAAAGAGAAGAAGAATGATTTAATGAGTTCTCAATCAGCAGTAAATGCAGTAATTACAAAGATTGAGTTCTATTTCTCTTTCACAGTCACTGAAAAATCATTCTCTAGATCTTGATATTTGAACACATGTGTAAGCCTGAATATGATAAGTGAGCTTCATTCTTTTTTAAATATTAAATCTTTTAATGATAACATCTCTGTTGATTCTGCAACTGAGAGAACTGAGTTTGTCAAGAAGATTAAGACTGTCATCTTAAAGATTGAGAATGATGATGTTAACTTGTAGAATGTTTACTACATTTCTAATATTACAGTCAATCTGCTTTTATTTATGAAACTTGAAGATCAGGGATTCTGATTTACATTATCTTTCACTATTTTCTCATTTTTCATTTACAGAGCCCTGAATGATGTTATTTTTCATACAGTTTGAACTGCTCAGAACAACATATATAAGATTGATGAATAGAAGTTCAATGAGAATCTCAATTATCTGAATAAGACAGTCAAGTATATTGTAATGTCATATGAGTATGATTTTAATTGAAAAGTTGATCTTTCTGTGACTGCTATTACTACTGTTAATAATGTTAATTCTGCAGATACAAGAACACAGATATCAAAGATATCAAAGACTCTTTTGAATTGATATTACAATCTCAGTTACATTCACACTGATGCTATAATTGCTATGGCCAAGAATTCTCATACTGAAGTTACAATTAAAGATTCTAAGACTAAGTTCTTTTGCAAGAAATGTGTCAAGACAGGTATGATATAAGATTATTTGAAAACATCAATGCCTAGATCTATTCAACTCATTGAGAAGGTTTATATTAACCTTATAGATAACAGATATACATTGAAAGATCTCTCTGATCATCTCTTAGAGTTCTACCAGGAAATTAAATACTGAATACTTATTATCTGTAATGTGACTTGCTATCATTGAGTATATTTTTTAAAGTTCAAGAATGAGACTGTTCAATACTTTGAGTTGTGACTCAGATTCATGAGTAATCTCAGATATACAGTCTCTGCTTTTCTACAGACTGATATTGATGATGTTTTCCAATTCACATATATACACACAGTTATGAATTCATATGATATCAAATGAAAATCAACAGTATCATATTTGTCACATCAGAATGATGTTTCTGAACATGAGATTCACACTATCATAGAATGAGTTAGAGCTGCTCTTTTGAAAGACAATCTCTCTAAGAAGTTCTGAGCAGATGTTCTAGAGACAGTGATTATAATAATTAATAATACTTTCATATCTACAGTTCTTTACAACTTGAAATTTTGATCCTCTACTGCAGAGACTTCTGTGATTTTAAGTTCATATAAGATTTCTTAATATGCACTTATAAATATCTCACTGAATGTGAGACATTTTCACTGATTAAGTGCAGAGGTTTTTATTCACTTACATGAATCTTAGCAGCCCGCGGATAAGCTTTCTTCATATGCTGATTTCTATCATATCATTGAATTCAGTGGTATATTAATATATTGTCTATAACATTCTGAATCTGATAAGATTATTATCAGTAGTGATGTGAGGTTTCTGATCACTGAAAAACCAGTTGTTACATCTGTGAAATTCATCAATTATATTGTTGAACTGAAGCCTGATATTCATCTGATTGATGATGAAGATGCCTCTGATATTGATGATTTGAATTCTACATGATTGCAGCCCGTGAAATCACTGGCTACATATACTTTGAGTATTATTACAGGTAATCTCCCGAAGTTCTACAAGAATGCCACATCTCAGTCAGAGAGAGTAGAAGATTATTGAAAGAAGTTTATATAACATAAGATTACTGACCTGAAGAGATATAATACATGAAGTTTGATCTCTAGATCTGATATTCTGAGAGATGAACTGATTGCTCTGAGCTGTTAAGTGTTTCTTGAGAAAGATAGGCCTGCAAACCTGAATACTGATTCTAATGATATTCTTAGAAAATCATGTTAAGTGATTTATAGTAACTGACTTAAGAAGAATTCTAGAGAAGAGATCTATACTTCTGTCATCACTGATACTGTCAATTGTATTATTTTTACAATAGCAGTACTACACAGTTGAATACTCTGTTAAGTGAATATAGTAATAACATATCTTTATAAGCATCTCACTAAGAAGATCTATATGAGACAACTCACTGATTTTGAGACAGGTTCACTGAAAACACTTGTCTGCATGATTGAGAATAGTCTATACAGTCTGAACTCTGTAGTGAAGATCTGATATGATTACTTAACAGCTCTGTTAAGTGATCTTGAATTTACAGTCAGTACTCATGATTCAGTACTCTGATATCATACATTCAGATATCATCTCTATATGATGATCTATATTAATGATCTCAACATCATATTCAAAGTTTCTGAGAATGTTAATTGACTAGTGAGTATGCTCAGTAAGAAATTGAAAGTCAAGAATCTACATCAGCTAATCAAGTATTTGAGTATGAAGATTAATTGTTCAGACAAGGAAATTAA